GGAAATTTGGAAAATTGCTGGTGATTTTCAAGTGACAAATTCTGTTCATAAAATGTGCCTTTTAGATAAGGCCGGCTGCGAATCTCGAGGTCCCCCCCTTTCTTTTCGTGTGGCTGCTCTTAACCTTCCGGTTTTCTACATTTGGTCGCGCTTGTCCTTTTCGGAAAAGGACAAGCAGCTCTAAATCCAGGATTTTGTAGATTTAGTCGCGCTTGTCCTTTTCGGAAAAGGACAAGCAGCTCTAAATGTACACACGGGCCGGCCCCCAGATTGTCATTTTTGTCGGGGTTCACAAATTGGGAAAAGGACAAGACAGACTGGCGTGACAATCTGGAGGGCCGGCCCGTGTGTACATTTAGTCGCGCTTGTCCTTTTCGGAAAAGGACAAGCAGCTCTAAATCCAGGATTTTGTGCATTTAGTCGCGCTTGTCCTTTTCGGAAAAGGACAAGCAGCTCTAAAACCTCCGGCACCGTCCCCCCAAAACGCGACGCCATGACAATCTGAGCCGCCCAGAACGCGACGCCGTGACAATTTGGAGCCCCTCCGGCCCCCGCGTGCGTCACACTCCTCGCGTCCTGGGGGCCGGAGTCCCGCTTGTCCTTTTCGGAAAAGGACAAGCAGCTCTAAATCCAGGATTTTGTACATTTAGTCGCGCTTGTCCTTTTCGGAAAAGGACAAGCAGCTCTAAAACCTCCGGCACCGCCCCCCCAAAACGCGACACCATGACAATCTGAGCGGCCCAGAACGCGACGCCGTGACAATTTGGGGCCCCTCCGGCCGCCGCGTGCGTCACACTCCTTGCGTCCTGGGGGCCGGAGTCGCGTTTGTCCTTTTCGGAAAAGGACAAGCAGCTCTAAATCCAGGATGGTGTAGATTTAATCGCGCTTGTCCTTTTCCGAAAAGGCCAAGCAGCTCTAAATCCAGGAGCTTGTGCATTTAGTCGCGCTTGTCCTTTTCGCAAAAAGGACAAGCCGCTCTAAAACCTCCGGCACCGTCCGTCCGGCCCCCGTGCGTCACACTCCTCGTGTTCCCGGGCCCCCTCAAAACGCGACGCCATGACAATTTGAGCCGCCCAGAACGCGACGCCGTTGCAATTTGGGGCCCCTCCGGCCCCCGCGTGCGTCACACTCCTCGCGTCCTGGGGGCCGGAGTCGCGTTTGTCCTTTTCGGAAAAGGACAAGCAGCTCTAAATCCAGGATTTTGTACATTTAGTCGCGCTTGTCCTTTTGGACTGTTTCGGGCCTTCGTGGAAACTGTTTCGGGTTTTCGTGGGGATTGCTTCGGGCTCTCGTGGGGATTGCTTCGGGCTCTGGCGGGGACTGTTTCGGGCTCTCGTCGGGACTGGGCCTGTTTCCTTCGCGTGGACATGTTTGATTGCAGCCGAGTTGCGACCAGAGCTGTACCTTGGCGAGCACATGTTGAGAGAGCGAACATGTTGATCATGGGGAGTGTGAAGATCCTTGAAGGCACCCCCCGGATGGATGGTTCATGGTGAATCCGGGATAGCCTTGTTTTAGGATGCCTTGTCAGAGAGTGTCCCTCAGTACACGCTCCTACTTCCGTAGCCCGTGCCGGATTAGAATGGCAGAGAGGCTTCACCTGTGCTGGGTTCGCCGACTTCGGAGGAGTCGACAGCCCGGTAATAACGTGCACTCGCCATGCGAGTACACGCGTTCCCTTTAACAGGTTGGACGGAAGATCCCGGCCCGTGGCACTGAGGAACGAATCCTCGCGCAAAGCGCGTCCGTGGCACGCACCCCGAAAGTGTGGCCGCAGCCTTTCGGAAGTGCTCGGGAAGACATCCTCGGCCCTTTTTAGGTATGTGGAGGCCGGTTCGGAAGAATGGTTCGCCGCAGCCATGCTACGGTTGGGCCACCCTCCTTCCACAAGGATGCCATTACCCCGCCATTTTCGGGGGCAAATGCGAACCCTAAAAGCGCACTGTGTGTATCCGAGCCGCCCCGATTCTCACGCCCTGCCTCCCAAAAGATTGTCGCAGGATGACAATTTAGATTGTCATGCCGTGACAATCTGAGGGGGGGGGCAGGGATGGAGATTGTCACGTCATGACAATTTTGGGGGCCAGATTGTCACCTGGTGACAATCTGGGGGCGATGGCGGGGGAGAGATTGTCATGTCGTGACAATCTCCGCCCCCTTCCTCCCCCAGATTGTCACACCGTGACAATCCAGATTGTCACGCCGTGACAATTTGAGGCCCCTTCGGCCCCCACCTGCGTCACACTCTTCGTGCGGTCGCGGCCGCCCAGATTGTCACGCCATGACAATCTGGGCCCCCCCACCCCCCCAGATTGTCATGCTGTGACAATTTGAAGCCCCTCCGAACCCCGCCCGCGTCACACTCTTCGTGCGGTCGGGGCCGCCAGATTGTCACGCCGTGACAATCTGGGCCCCCCCACCCCCCCCAGATTGTCATGCTGTGACAATTTGAAGCCCCTCCGGCCACCGCGTGTGTCACAGTCCTCGCGCCCTCGGGGCCGGCTCCGCAGGGACTGTTTCGGGCTCTCGTGGGGACTGTTTCGGGCTCTCGCTGCGGCTCTCGCGGGGACTGTTTCGGGCTCTGGCGGGGACTGTTTCGGGTTCTTGTGGGAATTGTTTCGGGCTTTCTGGGCAGTGTTCCAAGCTTTTCTGGTGACTATTTCGGGCTTTCGTGGGGACTGTTTCGGGCCCTGCTGGGGAATGTTTCGGGCTCTGGTGGGGACTGTTTCGACTCTCGAGGGGACTGTTTCGGGCTCTTGTGGAGGCTGTTTCGGGCTCTGGCGGGGACTGTTTCGCGCTCTCGTGGCGACTGTTTCGGGCTCTCGCGGGGACTGTCTCCGCGAGGACTGCTTCGGGCTTTTGTGGAACTGTTTCGGGCGCTCGCGGGGACTGCTTCGGGCTTTCATGGGGACTGCTTCGGGATCTGCCGTCCAACACACACCTTCTATTTATCATTTGCTTGAGGGTTTAGGGTTTAGGGTTTAGGGTTTAGGGTTTAGGGTTTAGGGTTTAGGGTTCGCCAGCGCTCTGCGGGCGCCCCTGTCAGTTTGTAAGTTATAGGGGTGGTCCCTAAACCGTAAACGCACCGAGACTCCTTTTGCTCTTCCGGGAAGAGCAAAAGGAGTCTCGGTGCGAGAGTCCTCCCGTGTCTGTTTTCCGGCACTTTTTCCGGGTTGGGGTTCGAAACCTTTGAACTTTTCTGGCGCGGCCGGGTCCCCCCTCGCGAAGTTTCAGGGGTTCGAGCTGGGTTCGGGCTCGGAGGCGGAGGGGTCCGAGTGTGAGCATCTCACCCGATTCGCCAGCGCAGTTTTTGGACTGCGCTAACAGGCGCCCCAAGCATCTCACGCGAAGCTAGCCACTGCATCAGCTGCTTTTAAGGGGGCTGCTTCTTAAACCCTAAACTTGGTCGGGAAACTTTTCAAGCTTTTCTGGCGTGGCCGGGTCCCCTCTCGCGAATTTTTCAGGGGTTGGAGCTGGGTTCGGGCTCGGAGGCGGAGGGGTCCGAGTGCGAGCATCTCACCCGAAGGCTTCTCTGCCTTAAGGGGGACCCTGTGGACTGCGCTAACAGGCGCCCCAAGCATCTCCCACGAAGGCTTGCTCTGCTTTAGGGGGGCTGGTCCTTAAGTTCTAAAATTTTGCGTCTGCCTCTCGATTGTTTTCTGTTTGTTCGGGTTAAGTTAGGTTTAAAGCCCTGTGAGTGTTAAGGGATTGCTGGGGCTTGGGTGTTCTTGTGGTTTCACTGCTTTAAGGGGGCCGTTGCTTAAGCCTTAAAACTTGTCGTCTGCCCTGCGATTGTGCGCTGTTCGTTCGGGCTAGGTTAAATTGAAGCTTTGTTAGTGTTAAGGGGTTGCTGGGGTTTGGTGTTTTTTGTTGCTTCAAAAAAATGAGGGTTTTAGGGACTTTTTCCGGGTTGGCTCGGTAAACTTTTCAAGCTTTTCTGGCGCGGCCGGGTCCCTCCTGGCGACGTGTCAGGGGTTCCAGGTGGGTTGGGGCTCAGAGGCGGAGGGGTCCCTTTCCCTGGCACCGAGACTCCTCCCAGCACCGAGACTCTCCCGGCACCGAGACTCCTCCCTTGTCTATTGAAGTTTTTTGCTTTTTCCATTCCGAGCCCAACTTTTGAAAGGTGGTTGTGGCCTGAATCTGTTTTTGTTTTTTGAAGTTTGCGGTGCGTCCCAACCCGGCGTGAAATTCAATCCTTTTGCCGCTCCAAGCCCGTTTCCAAGCCCAAGTTTGTTGGGCGTTCTTCTAAACCTTAAACCCCCTTCTCCAAGCCTCCACTTTGGATTTTCGGCCTTTTCCAGACCCCCTTTCCAAGCCCAAAATTGTTTTGCTTCTTCATTTCAAGAACCCCGTCCAATCCACCAAATCGCTTGTTTTTGCTTTTTCCAAGCCATTTTCCAAGCCTTCACCTACCACTACTCTGTATTGCTTTCTCTTGTTCTAGCAAACGCACTGGAGAACGGCTTGGCGGACAGCCGCCGAAGCTAGATTCGGTGCAAGCGAGCTTGTCGATTTCGTTGAATCCGGAACCTGGGCGGAGCGAGACCACAAGCCAGCTCATGATGGCGCTGCCTTGTCGAAGGCCCCCGCGGAGGTCGGTGATGGAAGCATTGGTCAAGTCTACATGCAAGACGATGCTATCGCGATGCATCGGAAAGCTAAGACGTTTCTGCTGCTCAAGCTCTATCGATCGGCAAGATTTTCGAAGTTATTTTTGAAGTCTTGTCATGGTCTAGAACTTATCGTGAGCCAAAACCTGCTGGCCGGCACTGGTGCTTTGACTGGCCCTTCTCTAGGCATTGCTTCAACCTTCAAGCTGGATATTACAGCAAGCCGAGCAAGCTGTCATTTTTCGAAGAATCTGTTGCGCTATTGCAAGTCTGACAGCAGTTTCTGGCCGCGCACTGTACTCTTTCGCGGGCCGCTGTACACAGTGGCTCCTGCGGTCTCTGGTCTGCCGCTCTTGCCGAAGGGCACGTCAATCGACCCAGGAAGATCACTTAGATGAAAACAACGTTTGGCTGCACTCGCAGCCAGGTGGTGAAAGCACAAATTGGATGGTTTGATTCTCTGAGTTGGATAGGTCGGCCGCCAAGCACGTTGTGCAGAAGGCTGCACACACGATGTATGCTGCTATCGCCCGCGCCCAAATTGTGCACGATGCGGGCCAGACAGTTTGGATAGTGAAAATCTGGAACTTCCAGCCGGATGCCAACATGGTTGAAGGCTTTCTCGAAGGCAGAGATGCCCCATTGCATCACCAGTCGAAACTTCAGCGGCTTCTCTGATGTCTGCTGTAGGTACCCGCTCAGGTGCTCGCGGATTCGAGGGGCTTCCGGAGGCTGCACTTGAAATTGGCTCCACAAAAGACGGTGGCCATCCACTGGTTTCCACGGAGACGGCGGGGCCTCTGCTGGTGGCTTGCCGAGTTGCCAAGAAACGTGAAGTTCTGGAGGTACCTGTGTTAGCAGGCTTTGTCGCACTTTCTCTTCCATCACAAGGCGAATCACTTCGAAGGCTGCGTAGGGCGTCTTCCCTGCGACGTACATAGTCGGGACCCATGGAAAATGGTGTTCGACCATGGTACCTTGATAGGGTGCGCCATTCAGAACAATCACTTTGCCACGTCGTCGCAGGCCTCGAAGATCGCGGGCTTGGGGATTTGGGTGGTGGACCAGTGCCTGCTGCAGCGTCTCCAGAAGACGAGACTGAAAAGCGCCTAGGCCACCCGGGCCGTCGTGATGATCCACCATCACCTGCCACAGCGGATCGGAAGGCTGAGCGAAATTCTTTAGGGTGCTTGACGTGCCCCAGCGCGTCACCACTGCCACCAGTTTCTTGGAGGTCGGCTGTCCTTGCTCTGCTTGCTGCAATTTCTTTGCCCTTGCAGTATAGTCTCGCATATATGATCGCCTGGGCCTCAGTATGGCAACGAAATGCACGACGACGACAGCTTACATGAGGACAGAACTAAATTGCTGTGGCGCGACAATGCATCTGAGGCCACGACATCATCTCCGATGGAGGCAAGGCGGACTGGGGTTGGCCGGTCGGACTCTCCATGTCGTCCAGAGGCACTTGCCGTAGAGGGTCAGCCGGCAAAGCGGACTGGGAGTGGCTGCTCGGACTCTCCATGTCGTCCAGAGGGTCTGCCGGCAAATCGCCCTGACTTGTCTGGTCTCGGGTGCTCGCAGCTTCGCTGACGCGCTGAAGCATCCTTCCGCGGTGGTGTTCATCAAGCGGCTTCTCGGGCTTCCTCTTCCTAACCGAGCCGGCCGGCCTTATTACCTTGTTCTCGAACGCCCAACTGAGCAGTGGTTGGTATACAGGTTGTCCTCGGCTTACGCTGTCCATCAACAGCCCGCGGATCTTCCGATGCGCTCTCCACCATGCTTGGCGATGCGCTCGCACGGTTTTTTGCATGCTCCATGGGCTCCGTCCTTTCCATGCCTTCTTGTGCTTGATCTCTTTCCCATAATCGTTGATCTTGACGACATCCTTGCCAACGAGCTCAATCCACTGGTTGTTCTTGGGGTAGCCGTCGGGGGTGTTCCTCTGCCCGTAATAGCGGCAGTGCCTGACGAATGCCGCTGCAGCATCGCTCAATCTGGGAGTTCTCATGGCCGGGCGTCCGAGCACGAAGTGTGTCAGGCGCTGCATCTTCTTGTGAAGCCAGCTGTTCTGCAGGTCAAACTTGGTACGCTCTCCGGCACTGTAGCGAAGCCAAAGGAGCTGTGCCGGATCTAGTGCAACCAGCGAGCTGTGGGCCAATGCGAACTCGTAGGTTGGAGATCCCGCTTCTCGCCAGCCTTTCAGTTGCGCTACGATGTTCCCCTTGCCGACACGTGATTCGAAAGCTTTTTGCAGCGCAGGGATGCTGCAGAACATGCAGCGCCCGTCGGAAGAGGTCTTCTTGACATGTGCTCGGCCGCCACGTCCATCACGGGCAAACGTGCAGTCTCTGGCTGGTCCAAGCGCAGGATCCTCGAATCCGAGGCACCTGGAAGGCATGGCGTTTTGGAATTGTAGCCTCTCGCTATTTTTTGGGCAGAGATTGCTGCCGCAATACGCTATGTAGGCGCTGCGTAGCTCGACTGAGCAGAAGACTGGCTGCGGCGCACTGCTGCAAAGGCTTTCCAAGCAGGGGCATGCTTCATGATCAAAGCTGGCAGAACGACGATTAAGGCTTCAATCGCAAAAAACATCAAAGCAGATCGAACCTGCGCTAGGAGCACATCTGGGAATACTCGTGAACGATGCTCTGGGCCGAACATGTGTTCACTCGCGCGGCTGTTGCCGTCCTTGTGAAACCGAAACCATCTCCGGCTGTATTCCGGCTGAAAGACGGTATGCCTCTAACTGGAGCAGGTACGTACAGCTACGCGAGGGAGCTTTCCAAGTGGATTTTCCTTCATAACCTGGACGGGAATGAAGATTGCCAGGTGGTTCGCAGGCTCCCCACGCCGATTTCCTGCACAAAGCGGGCGAGGGTGACGATTGTCAGGTGGCTCGCAAGCTCTCCAGGCCGATTTCCTTCACAAATTGGACGAGGATAAAGATTGTCAGGCGGTGGACCGGCTTCCCAATTGGACTCCGGGAGTCCTCGCTTAGTTGTACCTTGGCATTGGAAAGGAATCAATGAAAACATACGGCAAGTATGAACATGTCTACTTGCACTCAAGATGCGATCAGAGGTGTACCTTGGCTGCGGACATGTACATGAAGTCTGATTGCAGCCAAATTGCATTCCAAGGTGGTGTACCTTGGCTGTGACGTGATGAATCAATGCATGTGCGGGAATGTATGATGGTATGATGAAGCGTGAAGGTCTTTGAAGGCACCCCTTACCAGTGATATAGGAGGCTCATCTTGCATCTGCAGGGGCTCTCATCGCGGATGTATCTTCCTTAGGTCTTGGCTGGCAGCTTGGTTTGGAGCGGACCTGACGTACGACATGGAAGGGAAACTGCGAGCTTGCATGCGTGCAATTGCAGCTTAGTGGCCGTTTCTCATTGCCGTCCCTCTGGTAGTGCCTCGGCAGCGGCACAAAAAGGGCGGGATGCCAAGCTGACGTGGACATGTACGTGTCTGATTGCAGCCAAGTTGCATTCCAAGGTGGCATACCTTGGCTGGGACGTGCTGAATGAAAGCGTGTGTGTGAAAATATGATGGTATGATGAAGTGTGAAGGTCTTTGAAGGCACCCCCCAGCATACTTAGCCTGGGATGGCCCAAGAGGTTTTCCTTCTAACGCCCCAATAAGCGAAACAATTCTGCAAGAGGTTTTTTCGTCTAACGCCCCAATAAGCGAAACAATTCTGCAAGAGGTTTTCATTCCTGAAGCCCCAATAAGCGAAACAATTCTGCCAGAGAATTTGGTTCCTAACGCCCCAATAAGCGAAACAATTCTGCAAGAGTTTTTCATTCCAAAAGCTCCAATAAGCGAAGCAATTCTGCCAGAGATTTTCTTTACTAGCGCCCCAATAAGCGAAACAATTCTGCAAGAGGTTTTCCTTCCTAACGCCCCAATAAGCGAAACAATTCTCCAAGAGGTTTTCATTCCCAAAGCCCCAATAAGCGAGGCAATTCTGCCAGACTAACCCTTGAAAACTCCCTGAAAGGCTTGTGCGGACTCGAGGTTTGCGTCTAGATTCTAGATGCAGTCTGGAGGCGGCTCTCGCCTCATCTGACCGCGCCTTGGCTTCGGCAGGGAAATTGATGCAAGCATGACGCAAGCATGACGCAAGCACGCTCTAGACGTGGACATGTTTGATTGCAGCCGAGTTGCGACCACCAGAGCAATGCCTGGGCGAGCACATGTTGAGTTAACATATATGTTGATGATGGCCGTGGACATGCACGTGTTTAATTGCAGCCGAGTCGCTTGCACCAAAAATCAGTCCTTGGCTTGGACATGTTCACTGAATGCATGCGTGGGAAGTATGAGAGTGTGAAGGTCTTCGAAGGCACCCCCCAGCGTACTTAGTACTGGGATGGCCTTATTTTAGGCGCCTTATAAGAGAATGTCCCGCAGCACACGCTCCCTGCTTCCCCGATGTTTCTGGTCGGATTGAAACATCCTTCGCCCATATGTGTTCACCGATTGGAGATAGATCGGATCCCCGGTAGTAACGCGCACCCGCGAGCGAGTACACGCGTTCCCGTTGACAGGCTCAATGGGAAGCCCCCTTGGCCCTTGGCACTGAGGAAAACAAACCGATCCTCGCGCAAAGCGCGTCCGTGGCACACATCCCAAAAGTATGACCGCGGCCTACTTTTGGAATGCTCAAGGAAGGCACCTCGGCTCTTTTTAGGTATTTGGAGGCCGCTTCGCTAGTGAACTGGCGCGTACAGCAGTCGCTGTAGTTCAACGCCATTACTAGCTTCCAAAAGACAGTTAGCATGTCCCCTTAGGGGGCGAGCGGAGGGTCCAAAAGCGCATTGTGTGTACGCGCGCGGGTCGGGGAAATCCTGGTCCCCGGGCGGTCGTAGATTGACGGTGGGTGTCAATTTTGCCCGGCTTCAAGACTGCTTAAAGCCCTTTGAAATAACTTCGGAAGCCACTTAGAACGTTTTAAAACCACTCTGAGCCTTTAAAAACCTCTCAAAACCTGCAAAAACTTGCAACCAGGCCACCCACAACGCCAAAGTGACAATCTCCAGGCCCCAAAGTGACAATCTCCAGGCCCCAAAGTGACAATCGCCAGGCCCCAGGTGACAATCTCCAGGCCCCAAAGTGACAATCGCCAGGCCCCGAGTGACAATCTCCAGGCCCCAAAGTGACAATCGCCAGGCCCCAGGTGACAATCTCCAGGCCCCAAAGTGACAATCGCCAGGCCCCGAGTGACAATCTCCAGGCCCCAAAGGGGTGGCAATCTTAGGGGGTCTAGATTGTCAGAAGGCGGCAATCGTAGGGGGGTACAGATTGCCAACAGGTGGCAATCACAGGGGATCTAGATTGTCAGCAGGTGGCAATCTTAGGGGGGTACAGATTGCCAACAGGTGGCAATCTTAAGGGGGTACAGATTGCCAAGAAGTGGCAATCACAGGGGATCTAGATTGTCAGCAGGTGGCAATCTTAGGGGGGTACAGATTGCCAACAGGTGGCAATCTTAAGGGGGTACAGATTGCCAATAGGTGGCAATCGTGGTGGGGGTTGGTGGAAAGGGGGCGGATGGCTGTCACACTCCCTTGCTGGCCGGTTGCCCCTTTGGATTGTCAGCAGGTGGCAATCTTAAGGGGGTATAGATTGCCAATAGGTGGCAATCTGGTGGGGGTTGGTGGAAAGGGGGCGGATGGCTGTCACACTCCCTTGCTGGCCGGTTGCCCCTTTGGATTGTCAGCAGGTGGCAATCTTCAGGGCTTCAGATTGTCAGCTGGTGGCAATCTGGGTGGAGCTTGGTGGAAAGGGGGCGGATGGCTGTCACACTCCCTTGCTGGCCGGTTGCCCCTTTGGATTGTCAGCAGGTGGCAATCTTAAGGGGGTATAGATTGCCAATAGGTGGCAATCGTGGTGGGGGTTGGTGGAAAGGGGGCGGATGGCTGTCACACTCCCTTGCTGGCCGGTTGCCCCTTTGGATTGTCAGCAGGTGGCAATCTTCAGGGCTTCAGATTGTCAGCAGGTGGCACGACAACTAGGACTAACAAAATGGGGCTTTTTTTCTGCACTGGTTCTTGGCTTCTTGGTTTAAGGATGTTGAGCACGACAACCAGGGTTAACAAAATGGGGTGTGTTTTTTTCTGCTCTGGTTCTTGGCTTCTTGTTTTAAGGATGTTGAGCACGACAACTAGGACTAACAAAATGGGGCTTTTTTTCTGCACTGGTTCTTGACTTCTTGTTTTAAGGATGTTGAGCACGACAACCAGGGTTAACAAAATGGGGTGTGTTTTTTTCTGCTCTGGTTCTTGGCTTCTTGTTTTAAGGATGTTGAGCACGACAACTAGGACTAACAAAATGGGGCTTTTTTTCTGCACTGGTTCTTGACTTCTTGTTTTAAGGATGTTGAGCACGACAACAAGGGTTAACAAAATGGGGTGTTTTTGTTCTGCACTGTTTGCTGGCATCTTGGTGCTTCCCAACGGTGTGGCAAATACAATTTCTATCATGTGCCTGCTGAATTGCAGTCGAGTTGCATTCTGGAGCTGCACCTTGGCTGGAACATATTGCATGCAGGCATTTGTGGGAAGCATGAGGTGAGCATGGCGCAAGCTTGACAGAAGCACGCTCTGCACTTGGACATGTTGAATTGCAGCCGAGTTGCGATCAGAGCCATACCTTGGCGAGCACATGCTGAGTGAACGAATTTAGGGTTAAAGGTTCGGGTTTAGGGTTGGGTGTGTTGCTTGGGTCATTTCAATTTACTTAAACCGTTCAGTTGCACTTAGAAAAAACTTGTCAATTTACTTAAACTGCCCTGTGGTCGACCGTTGCTTGCCTTAAATCCTGCGTACCTGCTGGGCATCAAACCAGAAGCTGCGCTGGCGCACCTTCGGCCTCTGGCCGTCTAAAATTTAGGGTTTAGGGTTTAGGGTTTAGGGTTTAGGGTTTAGGGTTTAGGGTTTAGGGTTTAGGGTTTAGGGTTTAGGGTTTAGGGTTTAGGGTTTAGGGTTTAGGGTTTAGGGTTTTTAGGGTTTAGGGTTTAGGGTTTAGGGTTTAGGGGGTTTAGGGTTTAGGGTTTAGGGTTTAGGGTTTAGGGTTTAGGGTTTAGGGTTTAGGGTTTAGGGTTTAGGGTTTAGGGTTCGCCAGCGCAGCTGGCGCCCTAGGCAACCCTCATGGGAAAAACAAGGGGCTCCGGCCCATTCCTCTAATGCGTTCGTTACCGCAAACCTCGCCTGCGTTCGTTCGGGCAAACGAACGAACAGGCGACGGATGGACGCACATGCACACGCACCGACGGACGGGTGTCGGGACAGCGCGGGACGGGACGGACTCGACGGACCCGAACGGCACGGACCGGGCGTGGCCGGACGGATGGATGTGGACGCACGGACGGACGGACGGACGGACGGATG